ACACAGTCCTTAATTTCTGATAACCACAATATGCTTTCAAGGAAACAGGAACAGGGCACACGTTGCGATTACTGTGCGATCATGTTCAAAACGGAAGTTCAGTAAAGTTGGGGGTAATGGGTAAACACTAGGAAGTATGGAAAACAAATTATCGCTCAGCTTTCCAGACGACTGCGATAGTTTGGTTAACAGAGTTTTTTGGTAAATTATAGGAATATTAGTCTGACGGCAAAGTTTTGTAGTTGCCGCTAGCACTACTTGGAACCCATGATCAGCCGCACGTGAATATTCGCCGCATGCTGACGCATCGAACCTATTTGCTGCTGACGTCCTGCCTTTGGAACCAAGCGCAAAAATGCGCGCCTTGCCCTCCCATCCAATCCGTCCAATGAGATGCCCGCGTTAGTAGACTAGCCTCACTAGTAGGTTGGCCTCAACCTGTCTGGACAAACCTCAATGCCGTGTTTGCCGCTAGACATCATTTCGGACCACGTCGATCTAGCAGGAGGGCATGTGCTCCGGAAGTCAAATCTCTTACTCTTAATCCTTCTGCAGAATAAAGTCTTCCTACCACTCTGGCCTCCCCATGACTTCTCTATCCTCATAAGGAACCGGGCCTGGAAGATCGCAGCCGTTGGGGTTTACCTTATTCACCTTAACACCACACGATAGTGTCTTTGGTTAGGCGAGTTGGGGACTTGTAGAGAGCGCACTGATAATTACGTTTGATTGGAGGAGAACGTGTCGACTACGAAAAGGCAAATAAATAAGCAATTACGTAGCAGACCTCAGTTGTTTTCTCTAAAGATGACCGTGGATGATCTTCGCGGTCTGCCGCCTCCATCGTCCTTCCCCAAGGGTCCAAAATTATCGAACACTCCCTAGAAAGTCCTTCAGTAGCCTCCAGATTGTCCGATGTTTCCTCTGGAAGCACTTCGGGGATGCTGAGGGGGTCGATTAAAACATCAAACGGCAGCATAGGACTTTGGAAGGTGCTGGGATCATTTAAATTCCATCTGACTGGCTGACCAAAAGTGCCAATGTAGGAACCGTCCCATTTCCACAGCCTGACATTGCGGTCCGCCGAGGTTGTCACGATGGTTTGGGAGGAATTCACCACTTCCAAGGCGGAGATGGCTTTGGTGTGACCACGCCAGACGCACAAAACTAAGAGAGGTGAGGAATAAACATGTCAATTGCACTCTTCTAGCATCACCTTCTTCTGGACTTAACTTTACAGTTTTAGAAAACACTACGAATATTATAGTAAATACTAAGGATTTTTCCGATGGTATATTTTATGATGCGCGGAATTTTTACTGTTGTCCATACTCCAAGTCTAGGAATGGAACTCAGCTGGAGGCTTGAATGTAAGGGGGAGGGTTGACGGGGATATTCAATACGGAATTTGACTACCCACTGTTTGGAGACCCTTCACCTTCCTGTCACGTCAATGATTAGACGAGTCCTGATCAAGATCGCGCGAGAAATGAGTCAAGAATCGCTAGACGGATATGCTGAGCTCGAGTCAGGTCACAGAATGCCGTTTGGACAAGCTAAAGACCACAATCCAGCTACAGATTCTGTAGCTGCCACAGTGACTCGAGACCGTACTGATTGACTAGTTTATAACTCAAAATGTTAAGTTGTAAACCTTTTCATACCACTGCAGATGAATCTGAAGCCAATCTGAGAGCTCAAGTATTTAAAATAGTGTTCGTGGCTGTAGGTCCCGGCCGCTTTTCAACCACTTAACCTACCAAAAAGAAGTCGTTTTTGTAGGGATGGAAAAAAAAGTCCAATCAGGGATCAAGGAATAGATTACCACGAGCTCTGGTACCGTATCCGAGTGCTCTAGATTAGGAATGTCACATCTAGCCCTGTAGTCTGTAAAAATCGATAAGCAGCACTGTCACATGACTTTGACTGCGACACTTACGCGGGGGTGGGCGGGTCTCAGGTCCGCGCACCGCGTAGTCCTGTATGTTCCAGACATGGATGCGTCCAACTGAGTCTCCGACAAAAAGGTGTGATTCAGAGGTATCCTCAGTGTGCTTATCAGTCATCGGGACACGAAGTCGCCTTAGTTCCGCGAAGGGGTCTTTGGGGGGCACAGAAACGCCTACCGCAACTGTTGTCGGATAGTCGTCCACGTCAGGTATCTGCAAACGGACGCAGACAACAATGAAAAAAACATAGTTAAAAGACACTACAACAAAAATCGTTTGACTTTCCAAATGTAACGGATGCAGCCTAAATCAAAATTAATCGGAACAGGAGATTTAGATTGGTTTACATGGCAGGAAACTTACACTTTGTCGCCCTGATGATCTGTCAACAGAAGATATGTGCATTAGTGAGAGGCAGTGAACCCTTAGGATTGTAGCATCGGCCAATCAGGCTCTATATTGGTAACACAGTAGCTAAGGCATGCATCGATACAGCAGAAAAATTCAAAAAGAGGTCGTTTACATAATTGCAAACGAAAAGTGAGCAGCCGTCGGCTAGTGGATTATATTAAAAATACACGCCTACTCACTTATTCCAAGTAATAAAGCGCATGTGCAAATGTTACTTCGGGAATGGTACCTCTGCTTATTGGCGATACCATATGACACGAAGTTGAATTTAACATAAGAGGGGAGCCATTTATCAGAGCTTGTCTGCAGTACTGCGTATCCACTGAGCATGAAGTCAAAAGCTAGTTCGGCTGCCGGTCCATGTAACTGAAAATCGACTCCTGATGACCAGAAACCGGATCTGCGGCAGACAGCCACATTGCCTGTCCATCCTTCGTTCCCAGAGGCCCACTGAATCAAAGTCATGCGTCCTCACAAACAACTGTTCCAATGCTTTCTTTCACTGGCG